CACCTCAAAACGTGACAGATACGCAAAAACAGTACTTCCGAACTTCAGCAACCAGCAAAAGATTTTCAAGACCTTCAGGGAATCAGTTCTAATTGTCAAGAGATTTATATGTGACGGAAACCCGGAACAATGATAAGATTGGACCGGACTTTTCAACGCGACAATCGACACCCAAGACACGTCCCGATCGGAGAAAATGACCCATATGCAGCGACTTGTCTCCGAAAATGCTAAAACCCTCAAGCGCGGCAACGAATGCAACGGATTAATATTTAACTCAGCTCTCCAATGCCTGGAAAACGACTTTAAAACCCGACGAAGATAGTAAATTCCTTCATTCGACGACTGGACAACATCAGCAGCCCGACTCTACGACCCAACAGAAGTTACAAGGATCTCGCTATTTTCATGCAGACAATGGTTGACAACTTCACAACGCTTGGATTCCACCACGATCTCCACTCTACAACGAACGATCAGACAATTTTAAGGAAACTCCAGAGACTCTGCCGACTGGAAAGGAATCGTTACAACCTTCAACAAAACCTCCGAGGCCTTCGCTCATTGAATTGAAGATATGGTTCGTCTATGCCATAGCCCTGCACCGACCTGTCCAGCAGCAATCAACAAGCGTTTTCAGCCAACCGACCAAAAAATCACATCAACATCCCGAACTTTCATTGCATACAACAACATCAGCCAGTACACAAGGAGCAACGAAAGGATTTGTGCCCGGAAAACGCAGTTGCTCTACCTCGGAAATTGCCAGCACATCATAGCCATGAAAACCAAAGACTGACTACACCATGCCAGACGTCTAAAACTCTGCTTTAACTGCCTCAGCCCCCACACATTTGCCAACTGTCATTCAACACGGACCTGTAAGACAGATGGATGCAAACAGAAACACCACACTCTGCTACATAACATTAACAATTACATTTCAAACAACTCGACAGGACGCAAGGACCAACAAATAGGAACGCTAACCCACAAGATGATGCAACAAATTGCACCTCCAGTACAAAAAAATGGAAATCGACTCGCGAGATTCCAATATTGCCAGAAACGATCTCTTATGACATCATATAGTACATGCCTATGCAATGCTTGACTGCGCTAGCAAAGTCAAAGTGCTGAAATCATAAATTGCTCTTTAATTCAAACCAGATCTGAAGTTAAACGACAGGGTTCAGCTTAATCAAGCTTTGAATTCATCCGACACCGCCTCTTCCTAGATGACCATTGCGATTGAACACTACAAACGTTGACAGCAGCCTTTTCAGCTCAACGACATCATAATGGATTGAAACCTCTCACTTTTTGACCCTGAGCTTGTCAACTTTATCTGCCAAAAGAATAAACAGCTGCAACTTATTCCTATTCCAACACTGCCTTCGAAGGATATTGGACTCACCATAAGATGCAATTTCGCCGAACTAGTGACACCAACAGAAGCCATCTCATCGAAACAGAATATACTGATTGAGCGGAAAACGCCTTAGGATGGTCTCTTTGGGGACACATGACTAAACCCTTAATGAATGACCCCAACATCATTCACTTCAAATCGGACGATTTGTTTTTTTGACATGTAGCTGAATGGATGAAGGTGGACGCCAACGGAATCTCAATGGACCAGCGCAGCCTCTCTGCAGACGACACGGAAGCCCTGGACAAGTTATGGACACTACGCAGTTGGAATGCTTTGAAAACGCGATCGACATTTGCCCAGCCACCGAGGGCTTGCCAACAAACAACTCGACAGCCTTCTACAACGACTACGAAGAAACCCCACCATGGAAGCCATGTACCAGGAAACCATCCATAGGGATCTTCAGAAAGGACTCATCGTCGACGTAGACAAACCCCGGTTAACTCCAAAAAAAAATATTTGCCTCACCACCCAGTAACAAATGTCAACCATCCTGGAAAAGTACGCCGAACACTAAGCGCCTCCTGCAACTTTAAAGGAGTCTCTCTCAACGTCACCCTTCTAACTGGTCCGGACCTCCTCAAAAACCTCACCGGAGATTTCATGAGATTCCGTGAAGACCAAATTGCCATCTCAGCAGACATCGAGGCAATGTTCAAACAGGTCTTCGTTAGCCTCAAGATCGCCGTACCTACGAATACTATGGAAAGATGATCAACACAAGCCTATCACCTACCAATATAGTCGCCACATCTTCGCTGCAGCGGAATCACCTTGTGTGGCCTGCTACGCTACCCGGCAATGAGCGAAAGACAATGCCGAAGAATTCCCCAATTTGGTTCAAATCACAGAAAGGAACATCTACATGGAGGACCTCTATATAGCCGTATCACTGCCTGCCGAAGCCACCGTATTGATGAAAGAACTTCAAACAAAGTTTAGCCGCGGAGGTTTTAACCTCACAAAGTGGCCATCCAACTCTAAATAGTTTCCAGGGACCATCAATGAGAACAACATGGGAAACAGCGACAGCCTCATATCAGACGAAAAACCTCTCAAAAGAATTCTAGGGGTCAAATGGAAGCCCGACAAAGACGTACTTCTTGTTGAAGCCAAGAATATTCTGACGATCGACAAAAATGACCTCACCCAGCGCAAACTACTGAAGTTTGTTTCTTCAATTTTCGACACACTTGGAATAACTATGCCATTGACTATACGAATTGGAAATCCTTTCAACTTGCCTGGAATACTCGACCTCAGTGGGAAAAACCCCTTAACCTGGACCCTCTGAAGGATCTCAACGAATGGATTCAAAGAAGCAACCAGTTCAACGACATTTGGCTGCCACGGAATTACTTCAGCACAGGAAAAAAAATTTTTCGGCGATCAGCTTCATATCTTCAACATCGCCTCGGAGCTTGCCCTTGCATCAGTTACTTACTTCAGGATAATCTACACCGATAATACAGAGGAAGTAAACTTAATCATCGGAAAAGCACGAGTAGCCCCTCAAAATGATGACAAAACTGAGCTTGAAACTACAAGCCATGACAAATGGAGCTAAATTTGCACAATTTTTCAGAGGACATCACGACATCAAGGTTGACAGCAGAACGCTCTTGACAGACAGTGGGACCGTTTTACAATGGATTAATTCTCCGAATCGGCGCCACAGGATCTTCATTGCCAACCGCCTCAACTGATTCTTGGACCCGACATCGCAACAAGATTGGAGATATGCACCCAGCAAAGACAACCCTGTCGACGATGGAACACATGGATACAAAGCGTGCGACATGACAGCCGATTCCCGATGGGTCAAAGGATTAACCTTCGTTTGAAAATCTACATCTTATTGGCCCGCTCATATGAAGTTACAGCCTTCGACAGATGTTCTAAAGACAGACAGCCAAACCCGGCCGACAGCAAGCCTCAGTAGACACCCAATCTCAACAGTGATTGACTACAGCAGATTCAGCACATGGATCGAGCTCTAAAAGTGACCGCGTTTTTAAAGCTCTTTGTACAGAACTTTAAAGCGAATAAACGCCCCCAGCTCACAATTCAAGACCTCGCTAATGCGTTTGCTTATATTGCGAAGAATTCCCAAATCGACATTTTCCTCAAGGAAGATGGCAGCCTTAGGAAAAAGACCACAATACCAGCCTGCAGCCGACTGCAATCACTCTGCTCTTTCCTTGAGGAACATGATTGTCTTCGGACCAAAGGACGACCCAGCAAAGCAACAATTGTTCTCTCCAGCTGCCACCCTGTAACCATGGACGCACAACAACAACCCAATCGCCTCTTTCTGCAGCATATTCACGACAGCAATGGATATTGTGGTTTGGAACACAGCCGCAGCATCGTAGCTCACTAGCTTTGGATACTGACTCAGCAGAATCCATATCCCATCAACAGCAACTTCGTCATTGACAACAGCACAAGATGCAGCAGAAAAATAGAATATTCACCATCAGAAACATCATTACGAACAACTCTTTGACTACGACTACTACTATTGACGACACACGAGATGCCTCGACAAAACAGACTTTTTTTGCAACTTGCAAAGGGGCTTGGCTATGTTCGCGCTACTATGACCCACGTGTCAAAAACTTTACAGACAACAACAGAAACATATCAAAAAATTCAATTGCTAATGAACAAAAGTCAAGTCTCAACTAAATCAATTAAAATCAATTTCCAAAAAGACAATTTGAATTACTTTGGCAAATATATCCAGTATTCATACAGCTAAATAGCCTTTTTTATGTTTGGATATTGTTTCATATGTCTCAGGTAGACAAGCATTTTGGGTAAAGAACGTTACATATACCATTTTAAGAACTCTCAATCTCCCTCTCTCTCATGTCCTGTGAGATACTTAGGTTATGGTACGGTAACTGTCCCCCACACTCCTCACTCCTTGTTCTCTCGTCACTCAATTACAAACTCAGGTTGCCTTTAGAGAATTAGTACGGGAAATATGGGGAAAAAGTCAAGAAGATCAAGTTCTGCTCCGAGAAGATCCAATTTCTGCGCGAACAAAAGGAAAAAAGTAATGTTTGGATTGTTTTTCAATTAAACCGATTGGATTTTTTTATTCAATTGCTTTGACAGATTTGTTTTAGCATCTTGAAGTGATTGAAACTCTTCAGCTGAAACTTTATCAAATATTTAGCATGTAAATGTTTTGTGTGAAATTATTGGGGCTTGAACACTTTCAAACTGGCCAACTTGGGTTGATAAATGCGCGCAAAAACTCCAGTTTTTTGCCCGGGTAGTAAATTATTCCAAATTTGATTTGAAGAACGATAATGGATTCAAATAGTATACGCGAAACATACGCTTTGCAGTTAACATTGGATGCAGGGGAAGATTTTTAAAAAACTTTAAAAAAATTAAAATTTGATTTTTTTCAGGCATGTTTTTTTGAAAAAAAAATTTATAACACCTGAAATTTCAATCGGAATTTTCAGCGCTTCGTTTTCAGTGGCCTAGCCCTTATACAGCAGGTTAATTTTTCTGCTGGCTGTTATGTGATGAAACTTTATCTTACCCAACTTTATTCTCTTGTCGGGCGAGAGTAGCTTCGATCCAACCTCATACACCTGTTTGTGACTGTCTTTGGTTAACAAGTCAACCAAATGTAAGTTTTCTCTCTTCTGGAAGGCCGCCAGTCTTTCGCACAATCCGGGGTTTTCTGAGTTCAATTTCCTGGAACCTGTGTTGCTGAGAGCGTCAACGGCGAGATCACAAAGTCCACCAAGGCCAGAAATAAGAATGACAGTTTGGTTCCTTTCCAGTTTCTGCATCATACTGAAAGCCACTATAGGTAGAAAAGATGGCGTCCAAAACATCATATTTGAAAAATTGGTGCAAAAAACAAAACTAACAACAACAACAAAGTGGTTGTTCAAGTAGCAAAACGTTTTCTGACCACAAGGATCATTATAAGAAATTTCGATTAGATGATTTTTTTAAAAGAAAAATATTACAGGTGGGAAAAGGAAACGCAGGAAACAACCCAGACTTATACCAGCACAAAACTTTTTAGTCTTACTTGGTAATATCAGCATCTGATCCACCGGCGAAGATGTTTATTATGGGGGGTAGCGTCCGATTTCTCTCTGCGATCAAACACTCCTCAAAAGAAGTACGCAGCTCTCGAAGATCACTCTTCGGTTCACCTTTTTCGGCTGAAGTTGAATCAACTATGACTAAGTGAGTGTTCTCTGATGACAGTATATGAAGACTTTCAGAAGTACTAAAACTCAAAAATGGCTCTTGTAGAATATTAACTTTTTCAACTCAAATTAACTTTTTCTTATAGAATATTCGACGACATTTTGACTGTTTTCAATTGCACTCCTGCCTCAATAAAAAAACCTTAGTTTTAGGTACGAATTGTCGCGAGGCTGCGGGTTTCCATTGCAACGAGTCAACAACAGTTTGATTATGGATAGGCTGCAAAATCTTATGGTTATTACGTGCTGCTCTCCAGTTAACCACAACTCTCGAATAAGAAAAAATTGTATCAAAATTGCTAATAGTACATTTTTTGAAACAAAAAACAAAGTGTTCAAACTGTTCATTTTATGCAGCCAAGAAGGGGAACTAGAAAAGAGCTCGAAACGACCTTCGAAAGTCGCAATAAAAGTTATTTTTGAGGCAATACCCAAGCGTGTTTGAGCAATTTTGGCATCTCAAAAAAACTTATAATACTTATCATAGAGGAAGAGAGAGAGAGAGAGAGAGAGAGAGTGAGAGAGAGAAAGAGAGAGAGAGAGAGAGAGAGAAAGAGAGAGAGAGAGGAAGAGAGAGAGAGAGAGAGAGAAAGATGGAGAGAGAAAGAGAGAGAGAGAGAGAGAGAGAGAGAGAGAGTGATAGGAGAGAAATAGGGGAGAGAGAGAGAGAGAGAGAGAGAGGAAAACAGAGAGAAGAGATAAATAGCGGAAAGGGGGATATATAGGAGAGAAATAGGAGAGAAATAGGAGAGAAATAGGAGAGAGAGAAAGAGAGAGAGAGAGAGAGAGAGAGAGAGAGAGGGAAAGAGAGAGAAGAGAGAAATAAGAGAGAGAGAGAGAGAGAGAGATAGGAGAGAAATAGGAGAGAGAGAGAGAGAGGGAAAGAGAGGAGAAAGAGAAAAAAAAAGATGTACAAGAAAGGCTGAAATAACAAAATGAAACTTATCGCAAACAAAAACGATCGATCATAACATGGTAATATATTTTGTGAAAAAAAAATTGCCTGTATCAGTGCGATGCCTTTAAAGTTCCAACTGTTTTTTGAAGTCCGTGTTCACTTTTTTCGAAAAACACCTTCAACTTAACTTTTGAGATTATTCAGAAAATTGTTCCCCGGCACGCAATGTAAAGTACACAGTGATAGATCTATTGCGCGTTACTTGACGCAAATTGGCCAAATTGGCAATCTTTAAATCCCATTATTGTACGATAAAAAATCACAAGTGAAATATCTTTTCACATTTCAGCGCAGGAAAACAGTACCTTTCGAATGTTATGAAAAAATTATTGTCAAAAGTTGCTAGTTAAGAAATCAAAATTGGTGTGGAGAAAAAACAATCTCAATTGTTCCGTCACTTTTTTCGTAAATTGGAACAATTAGGAGTGAGATTACGAGTTTTGTTGAAAACCAAATTTCATACAATACTGTTTGTATCACGGCAAAGTCATGAATGTTCAGACTGCCTTTTCAGGCCTTTTACACCCCTCCGGGATCCCCCTTTGTACTATTTTAAGATATATTTTTTTGGTTGACTGACTCAAAAATTTTTTCAAAAAGCGCCTTTGGCGCCAAAATATATTAGTTTTGAGTGTAGGATGCGCGCCGAAAAAACGCAATTTTTTTTTTGGTCAAAGTTTGTTCCAAAAAACAGCTAAAAATGCTTTTTTTAGCCTGTTTTTTCAAAAACTTGCCTGCGCCGCAGAAAATTTGGTCAAAATGGGGTCTTAATAGTGATTTGGGAGAGCTCAAAAAATCAAGGTCGACCTAAAAAAAAGGTTGACGAAATTTTCGAAACTTTTTTGAAAATCCGCCTTACCCGAGAAAACCCTAGATCCGCCCCTGATAAAATAGCGCATAGCGTCGCTAAAACTGGTAGGCTCTGAAATGATGTTAAGAAAATGATTCCAGCCCTTAAACTGATCAGAAAATTTTATTAGATTTATATTTACGCTAGTTAACATTCTGAGCCGTTATCTCAAAGATCGAATAAAATTTTCAAAAAAAACAACAAAACTTTATTTGATTTCGTTCTGCTGGTTAAGGACGTCAAAAAAATCCTATATTGCGCAAATGTCTGATCTTCACATCCATTTTTTCCAAACACGGCAATTTTATCAGTTCTCTAAAGTTTAAGTAAAGAGAAGCCAAATGGTCAAAGAGAACATTGATTTTTAGAAAACGAAGACAAAGTTAGCAAGAAAAAACCTAAACAGCTGTTTTCGATGACAAATTTATTTCCCTGGTGCTTTTTCCAAAGTTTGGAGCAACACAGCAAACAAATAGACAAAATGAATCGTGGACTTCCAAATAAGCGAAATGTGTAATCTAAACAAGACTGCTCGTATATCAGAGCAAAACACTGAATGTTCCGACTGTCCTTTAATTCAGATCGATTAGTTTTTAGGAAAAAAAATATCGAAAACATATAAATTTCGGACAATATCAAAGTGTGAAATATTCAGTCTTATGAAATTAATACGATGGAACCGATTAGCTAGCCTCAATTGCATTTGGAACGATTTTGTTGCGCAGGATAATTTGGTACGCATAAATAATTTGCGTTACGCTCTCAGCAATATGAACAAACTCTTCAAAGCGATCATAACTTAGTCCAGAATATGCTCAATTTGGCAGTTTTAAAACCCCTAGAACTTAACAAAAAATAATTGGAGCTAAGATATCTTTTTACATTTGAACTCAGGAGGTCGATATCTTCAATGCGAAATAAAAAAATTTGGTTGAAAAGTATTTTCTCGATCAGTCAAAGTTGACTGAATAGAAAAACCACACCTAGCATAAATATTCCGTTTTTTTTTTTCAGGTGACACTGCGACCACTAAAAAAACGTAAGAAACCAACGCTTAGCCTAAAATTTAATTTAACGTTAAGCTAAGTAAGTATGCCAAAAAACAGTTACCAAATAACAACAAGCGACGAGATCGCCTGAACACTTCACTGAAAACTTAATGCAAAAAGCGCCCGAAAAGCACAAAAACACAGCGAGGGGTTCCTTTCAGACCAAAATGATTACTCAAAATTTTTGCTAACACGAAGATCGCCAGAATTTCTTTCAAAATGTGCCCCAAATCTTTTCGCCTCTTGTACCCTTTCTTGAGCTTAGATTTCGTTTTATTCGTACAGGAACAAACGAAAACAAAGAAAAAATCAATTGATTCAGATACTTCTTTGTACCACCTTTATCTGGCTCTCTTTACTGGCTTTTTTCGGTTAGTGAGGCTTTTGCATCGGAAAGTGCGCCATCATTACCATAAAAACGCAAGTCTACACTCTACCTTTCACCGACTCTTACTTGCCCACTGGCCCGATCAGTTCATTATCACCTCAGTATCATCACTTGTAGATTTTACAGCTCAAATCATTGAAATACATTAGTGAGTAGCCTTTTTCCTCAAAAATTTATTAATCAAGTTGCATCGAATCAAATTTTTTATTGCTTCAAAAAACTTTAAGCAAACAGTCATCCTAGCTAACTCCAACAATTTTTCAAAAAGTCTATTTAGAGATATTTCATTTAACTCATGCAAACGAACAGTCAAAATGAGCCAAAAATCTTCTCGTAAACATACAAAAAAGTATACTTCCAAGTCCAAACAAGCAAAATGCGCAATCTAAAACTAAGCTTGTGAAACTAGTAAATTTCGAATCAGATTTCCAATGAACAAAACAGATGCGCAATATTGAACTCAATTTATTGGGAAGGCAAAAATTAAGCAACTGACAAAAGTTTAATTTACTACTTACTACACACAAACCCACTAATGCTTCAAAGACGCTCGCGAAAGAAAATTTGTTATAATCACATACTCATTAAGCAACGCATGTGCACACGAACCAATCTTCATGTGTGTTTGTTCCGCTTAGTTTGTTCATTTTTACAGCGCAGCGCGCCGTATAATCTCAATTGCTGACAATACGTTTCGTTCAATTTGTTTCAATAAATAGCTCAATTGTTGTTGCATCTCTGAAAAATATCTGGAAAGATCTCAAATACTGAAAAAAAATCAAATGTTGCATGATACTAATCTTAAAAAGTGGTTTTATTCGGGGATGTTTAGCGTTGTGTTCTCAAAACTGTGATCCCGAAAATTGCTTGCTGGGAAATTTAACCCAAATACCAAATGGTACAACCACGATTTAGTTGACCAATGATTTAAGATAAATTCATGGATTCCGCTGACAATCGTTAAATCCTTGCTTTTAAATTTCGCCTTTGTTAGTTGGTAATTGTAGCCTCAGCTTTCAATTGTTCATACGCCAGAACTGGTTTAGTACAGTCTAATAAAAAAATTGCGGAATCTGATTGTAATTTGCAGAATCCGCTGAATGTTGCGGAATCCAGAATAACTAGCTAAATTCGCTTGTTGCGGAATCCACCAAAATGCTCTAAGGGAAACCCACTTACGTTTAGATTGTGTTTCAAGACTTGTCTTTGGATTCCAATGACATGCAGACACCAAACTGTGCGCCTATATAGTGCACAGTTTGGTCTCGTAATGATTACTTGTTAATTCTTAAAATTATATCATATAGCATGTATTCCCTAACCTCCGGGTTGCATGAAACAAAATGTCAAATAAAAACAATTAGACAAACCGATGCAGAGAAACTTTTAATTTGCAGTTATGTTGATTCAGTTACGTGCCGAACTCAGAAATAGGATTGAGCCGCTTTATTCAACCGGATGACTGAATCTTTTCATTACCCTCACCTTTTTTCAGACATGATGTTGTGGTGTGTCGATGAAGGACTGTAGATCCTCAGATTGGAACTGACAGGCTCAACTAGCACTTGTTTGTCCGCCAATTTCTCGTATTCAACAAAAGCCACTGACACGAAATTGAATGATTGTTTCAAGTCGACCGCTAGTTCCCTGATTTTTAAAAAGTGTTCAAAACCAATTACTCTGGAACAATATGTTAGATGAAGTCTGCTTAAAAACTACTCAATTGGTTTGACTCTGGTTTTAGTAATGTACACTACATCCAACTAGGGTATTGG